ATTTATTTCAGTATTTATTTCAGAAAAAAGCATTTTCACTTAAATTATATATTGGGGTGCCTGGATGGCTCAGTCAGTTAAGCCTCCCAGGTCATGATCTCATGGTTCATGAGTTCAAGCCCCACATCGGGCTCTGTGCTGACAGCTCAGAGCCTCCAGCCTGCTTCAGATTCTGTCCCTCCTTCTCTCTTTGTCCCTCCCCCGCTCACACTGTCTCACAAAAATGAATAAACGTTAAAAAAAATTTTAATTATATATTAATAATGACTATTTATTGAATAATGAATATGATGAATTATGAATATGTTCATTTAAATGTATTAAGATACATTTGATTTACTTTTAATAGGTTAATAAGTGTTTTTAAATGTTCTCAGTTTTAATTTCTCACAGTGCAAATATAATGGATGTAGTCCACATAAACAAAAGCTCTGCAGGGTCCTCAATCATTTAAGAGTAAAAAGGGTTCTGAGAGCAGAAAGTTTGAGAACTACTGCTATAACCTAAGGAGCACTACAAAAGTAGAAACAAAGGATGCTTAATTCCAAAAGAAACAGAAACCTTCACAGAAGAAAACATATTGACTTGGAAACTTAGAGGAGTTTATTTTTCAGTTTTCTTTTTTGGGGGAGAATTCAAGAAAATGGAGTATTTCAATGTGCTCTGGGACGGTGAAAAGACTAATGTAATAGAAATGTGGGTAACAAAATTGAATAAAGAGTCTAAAGTTGGACTGGGAAGGGCTTACCCTATAAATTATAAACGCAGTTCATTTATATAGAAAATGAGGGGCTATCCATGAATTTGGGACTGAAGAACAATTTTTTTCTAACAACCTTTATCTCCTGGGTGTGCCTGGGTGGCTCAGTCGGTTAAGCATCTGACTTGATTTCCACTCAGTTCATGATCTCACAGTTCATGAGTCTGAGCTAATAGCGCATAGCCTGTTTGAGATTCTCTCTCTCCCTCTCTCTGTCTCTCCTCTGCTTGTTTCTCTCTCTTTCAAAATAAATAAACTTTAAAAAAAAATCTGCAACTCCTGTGTCAAGACTTTCATATACTCAGCATATTCCTTTTTTTTTTAGGTTTATTTATTTTGAGAGACAGAGAGGGAATTAGTGGGGGAGGGGCAGAAAGAGACAGGAACCTATAGGATCCAAAGCAAACTCTGTGTTGACAGCAGAGAGCTGGATGCAGGGTCTGGAACTCAAAAACAGCAAGATCATGACCTGAGCTGAAGTTGGACACTTAACCTACTGAGCAACCCAGGCAACTTAACCTACTGAGCAACCCAGGCACCCCAATATTTTTTTTTTCAAGTTTTGAGTACAAGGCTTAGCTGTGGAACAAAGCAAACTTTAACATCCGTTTGGTGTATAAGGCTCTAAACTATGCCTCATAAGAGTGAAAGTCTGATTTAAAAAGTATGGTATGTCAAAAAACATACACATTCACATTTGACAGCATGGTCCCTGCCTTATTAAAAAAATGCTCAAGTAACAAGGTTTATACTTTATACTTTTAGTTCAAATATATGGCACACTCATGCTGCTCCAAGTGTACTGCAAAATAAATAGGCCTCTAAATACTTCTTTGTGTCTAATCTTCCTCTATCTTGATGTCCACTCCTAGTTGCCCTGTAGGCAATGAAATGACATATTTCTGGAATATACTGCAGCGCTTTCCAGCTCTGCTCTGCCTACACGAAAACAAAACAAATAATAGGGGCCTCTGGGATTGGATGGGAAACGCCTCTGACAGGAGGACTGGCTGTTCTATGAGTCAATCAAACAATTTTTGGCAGAAAGCCAGGCAAACAGAAAACAGACTTTGAAAGAAGCTAGTCTACAACTCTGACAATACCTTATAAAAACTGTTCTCTATTTGACCAATTTTTACACTCTTCTATCCCCCTGTCCCGCTGCCGAAAATAAAGCAATATTATGCTACCACAAACGAGAATTTTTTAAATGACAGAGGTTATTATCCTCTCTCTAAAAAAAGGCTCATGCCATTCATTCGGAGTAATGGATAAGCACCTATAACTCTGTATAACACATGTTGGGTACAGAAACAATGGCTGCTTTAGAAACATTTAAAGCTTAGAGGAAACTACAACTCTGCTGAATTTTTAAAAATAAAGCTATTTCCTTTTAGCATATCAGTAATTTCTCCTGTTACTTTGACCGGCAGTTACAACTTTTAAGTAGTAAAAGTGAGAACTGGTGAGAATTATCTGATGGCTTAGCTAAGGCAACTATTAAAAAAAAAAAAAAAAAGTATACTTTTAAAAAGCCCTAGTCGAATTTAACACACACGCCTAAGGCGGGGCCAGTTTGAGACATAGCAATGCATTCCCCGCTTTTTTTTTTTTCCCATAAGCAGTATAAGCATAAAGATCTTTAATACATTTTATGATAAGCAACCGAATTCCTCCCCAAGACGTAACTCGTTGGATAATTACATTCAACCTTATTAAATTAGTCTGCAGTATACTTCAACTACCAACCACCCGGGGTCAATTTGGTGAACTGACACCACCGGTAGGAGGCAACCGACAGGGACAAGTCCTTCCAGAGCAAAATTATGACAGATTCTAGGGAAGCACTCTCATTTTTGCCGTCTCCCGCTTCCTTTGCGCGTGGCCCAGGTAACAACGTATTTTCAGTTCATCTTTTGGCCAAAATCTGGCGCCAGGTTTCAAACACATTTCCGCAGGTTGCCACCAAAGTGACGCTGGGAGAGGACCGCTTCCCTGGGTCCTTGGAAGGTGGAAATTAAGCGCGGGCCGACTGCGGGGAGACAGCGATCCGATCTTTCCCAAAGCCACTTCGCCCGACCCTCCACCCTCGAAAGCGCTACTGAACCTAGGAGAGACTTCAGTTACAACCAAGGTGCACTTTGTAGCGATCTGGGTGCCGGGGGCCCACTCGGGGCTGGCGCTCTTATAAGAGCCCTCAACTGAACGAAGAAGAGACAAACAAGCCAGCGAACTTACCCAGTTTCTTCCACATGGCGAGGTGACAAGCTAGGAAGCCTTTGCGGATGGCAGCGCAAACCTTCGCCGGCTCGGACGAGGTGAATCCCTTCTGCTTCTTGATGAAACCCCACAAATGCTCCCGGGCAAACTGTGCCGCCTCCCGCCCGCCGTGCCCGTCGCACACGGCGAAAAATGCCACTGAGGAACGGCGGCGGCAGCAGCGACCGGGAGTTGGTGAGGCCGCGGAGTCCGGGGGAGGGTCGCGAGCTTCTCGGGCTGCCGCCGCCGGGCCTCTCCCCGAGACTTCGCTGCCAGCAAGAGTCGACGGTGACCGCTGCGGAGGCGACGGCTGAGAGAGCGACCGCCGCGTCGAGGGCTTTTCTTCAGCCGTCGGCTCGGGCTCCACCACGATTTGAGTAACGTCCTCCATGTACTTCCTCCCGCCCTGGTCGGAGAAGACGCTCACTCCTAGCGAGTACAGCCCCGCCATGGCCGGCTGGCCGGGATCCCGCCGGTCCCACGCAGCCCGCCGAATCTGGCGGCGGGAGACACACTCCGCGCCCGCCGGCCAACTATTGTTTACCTTCGACGACGCCGAGAGGGGGGAGGGGGCGGTCCCGGAGGGGGGGGCACGCGATGTCGGGACTTGTCCGCGAGAGCTGGGCCGGGGCTCTAGGGCGAGAGGAGCCGAGCAGCTGCGCCTGCGCAATGCGCTTCCCCGCCTGCCCGCGCCCACCACACAAATCAGACGTTCTCCTTGGCTGTCGTCATTCGGCTCTCTGGGCCTGACCAATCCGGAGTCGGGTTGGGGCAAACCCGCCCCCAACCCTCGCTCCTACCGGCAACGGCCGAGCTTCATCCTCCGTGCGCGGGCACTGGGCCCGCGCGCTGCCCTGCCGGGCTTTCCGCTTTGCCGTGGGTGTTGTCGCCTTCGGGTTTTCGTCGGATGCTGAGCACTTGTACAGCTTGGGCTGTCACCTTTATTGCTCAGTCGCCGGGATCGTAATGCAGCCTACTGCGCTTGGCGTTCCGCCGCTCGCCTGAGTGGGAAGCCGCGTAGGCTCGGGCCTCCCACGAGTGGACAATCTGGGGAGGGGAAACCTTTCATTCCTTGAAGTGAAATGGCGGGAAACCCCACTTAGGAAGGTAGTTGTGAAAAGGCTGGAAAAAGTGTGGCACTCTTGAACTGGATTTGGGTGGGATGTATCCGACTGGCAGGGAATCCAGTTTGTGTTGTTAAGGAAACGGGAAATTTCCACCATCCGCTGCAGTTTTGTTTCACATAACTAGTATGTCGGAGACTTAAAAGGGTTATATTTTAACTAATTTTAAACATCTTTTCAGCTTTTGTTAAACCTAGTACTTTTCCCAACGAGCCCTGGGTACAGTATTGTACTCCTTTGGTGGTACCACTTCAAGTTATCACTTGGAAATAGCTTACGGAAATTGCCAAGCACTCAGTGCTCTAACAGTTGGGTTAGCTTTCCACTCCCTTTGCCCAATAGGTTGTATTCTAAGCACTGAAACCTTTGCACGGATTTCCACAAATGAAACCTCAGAGTAGGCAGGTTATATGTTCTTAGCTGCAAACTTTATTGAAGTGAATCAGTTTAAAGTTCCCTTTTTCCAGTTTTAGCCACTTCATCAATTCTCCCGTGTGCCCTTTGCTGTAGGGCTTTCCAGAGTCTCAAATGGAATTCTACTAGTACAGAAATAGGAGTAGGGAAAATGTTCATTCAAACAATTGGCACCAAAAAAAAAAAAAAAAAAAAAAAAAAAAAAAAAAAAAAAAGTTGGCTTAAGAAGTACAAATAGGAGGAAAAAAACCTCCTTGTACTACTACTACTACTAATAACCAAATCAGGGGGCGCCTGGGTGGCTCAGTTGGTTGTGTCTGACTTCAGCTCAGGTCATGATATCTTGGTTTATAAGTTCCAGCCCTGCATGGGGCTAACTGCTGTCATCACAGAGCCTGCTTTGGATCCTCTGCAACCCCACTTGCGTACTGTCTCAAAATAAGTAAACTTAAAAACAAACAAACAAAAAAGCTCAAAATGTAGAAAATCTGAATTACATAAAATTACAATTAAAAGTGTAATCAGAGATGACCCTATACACCAAAATACACTAGACCAGATAGTTTCAGAGTGTGAAAATACTTGGAAAAAATACCAGCTTGTTTTGAAAGATAATCAAATCCTGTAACCAAATCAATCAGGAGGACTGGGTAGCTCAGTGGTTGAGTGTTCACTTTTGATTTCCACTCAGGTCATGATCCCAGGATCATGGGATCAAGCCCCTTGTGGGGCTCCTTCCTGAGCATGGAGCCTGCTTATGAATCTCTCTCTCTCTCTCTCTCTCTCTCTCTCTCTCTCTCTCTCTCTCCCCCTCTCTCTTGCCCTCCTTTCCCTCCCACTGCCCCTTTCCCCCACTCTAGCTCTCTCTCTAAAAATAAAAAACAAACAAGAAACCTAATAATCATAACACCAGAAGAAAATCTATAGAGTATTTTATAACTGTAAATGCAAAAATCCTAAATGAAAAATTAGCAGTTCTAACCCAGTAGCCTGCATACCTTGAGACCTGCAAGAGAAAACAGTTTGTGTAGCTTTATATTATTCATCTTAAACAGTTTACCCACCTTCCCTCCCTCCCTAGAGATTACAAAAAAGATAATTCCCTTGAGCTTTATAATCCTTTTCACTCATTCACAACCGGTAGCCTCCGGGTCATACACCATTACACTGATTAGCATCTCCATGCTACCCACTACTTCCATTAATCTGATTCAGCGTCCACTTTTCACCAACCATTCTAACCATTTCACTCCACACTTTAGATTTCAACATCTGCTAACAGTCATTTCCCCTTTATTCTTCACCTCTTCTCTAAATGTTCCCATCAACTTCCTGTTCCAACTGAAAACTGGTTTATCACCTGGCAAAATGACCTCTCTTGCAACTTTCCAAGTAGAGGAGATTGTTTTACTTCTCAGTTTTTTTTTATCTTCAAACCTGCTCTTCATGTTCCTCCAAATCATTTCTCTTTTTCCTTCAAAAACCCAAGCTTTTTTAAAGTACTGCCAACTGCTACTACACCAAGATGTCATCACCCTAGTAACTCCCTCTTCATTTGTTCATGGCTCATTGTCTTCCTTTCTTCCACTATTTTTGTCACTTCTCAGCCACTTTTTCAAAATGTAATCCACATTTTCCATCCAACACCCTGTCTTCTCGGTTCCAAATTCTCCTCTTCATGAAGTGGTCTTGATACTGTTAAAAGCAAACCCTCCATTTGTGTTCCAGATCCTTTCTTCTCTCTCCTTCCCCAGAGCTTTGCTCCACCAATTATCTTTTCTTGCTCCTACCTCATAAGTTTTTCCTCTTCTACTGGGTCATTTCCATCTGTGCACAGACATGTTCTGGTTTCTATTTTAACTAAAAACAACAACAGGGGCACCTGGGTGGCTTAGTTGGTTAAGCCTCTGGCTTTGGCTCAGGTCATGATCTCATGGTTCATGAGTTTAAGCCCTGCATCCAGCTCTCTACTGTCGGCTTGGACCCCACTTCAGGTCCTCTGCCTCTCTCTCTGCCCCTCCCCTGCTTTCACCTGCTCTCTCTCCCAAAAATAAACACTTAAAAAAGCAACAACAAAAAACTACCTACCTTGACCCCTTACACTACCCCATGTCTCTGCTCCCCTCACAGGAAGATTCTTTGAAAGATTTGTCTCTAATATTCTACATTTAATTCCTACTTCATAATTTCTCCTTAACCTATTCCAAACAAGCAACAATACCCATTGTTCTTAGACTTTTTGTGACATAACCAGACCTCTTTATTTCCAAAGCTAAGAATGATTTTTCTGTTACTGACTCTGCTCCAAATGAAGAAGCAAATGAAACCACTGTTTCCTTCTTGAAACTTAGTAGCAAGTCAAACCAATGCTTCTTTCTTAAAACTTCTCTTGGTTGAAAAGAAACCACACTATGCTGGTTTTCTTCCTACCTGATTGACAAACCACCCTTTCTCATTTTCATTTGCTGATTGCTCCCCAGCCAGACCTTAAGTTGCTGGGGAGAGTCCAGGGCTTGGTCCTGGGCTCTTTTCTCTTCCTATACACTCCCCCTAGGTAACAGCATCCAGGACCATAGCTCTCCTCGCTCAGTCTTATCCACATCAGTAAGCATCACCATCCACCATGCTATTCAAGCCAAAAAAACAAAAACAAAAACAAAACAAAAAAACCAAACCTAGGAGTTTTTTTATTCTTTCTTTCATTCTCTTCCCCCCACTCCATCTCCCTACCAATTTCCAATCCTTCTAATTCATCAGCAAATCCTTTTGACTAAATCTCCAAGATCAATACTGAATCCACCACTTCTCACTCCCTCCACCACTGCCATCCCAGTTTAAGTCACTATTACCTTTCACCTGGGTCACTACATCAGTCTCCTCGCAAAATCTCATTTCTTTCACTCTTGACCCTGGCATTCCTTTTTCCACTGGCTACTATCGTGATCTTTCAAAACCGTAAATCAGGTCAAGTCATTCTGCGACTCACTATGCTCCATGACTTCCCCTCACATTTAAAATAATATGTATGGGGGTGGGAAGATAGACAAAATAAGTGAAGGATTAAGAGGTACAATATTCCAGTTGTAAAATGAATAAGACAGGGGGAGGTAACGTACAGCATAGGAAATATCAATAATATTGTAACAACTTTGTATGGTGACAGATGGTAGCTAGATTTTGTGGTGACCATTTCATAACGCATATAAATTTCTAACCAACTATGTTGTACACCTGAAACTAATACAATATTGTATGTCAATTATTCTTTAATAAAAAATAATAAAGTAAAATAACATTATTTCATAATAGTTTTCCCCTTCCCCACTACACTCCAGCCTCACTGGCCTTCTTTCTGTTCCTTGAACCAGCCAATCTATTTAACAGTCCTAGGACTTTCTGCATTTAGCTGTTCCCTCCCCATAGAATGCCTGCGGGGGAGCCTAGGTCGCTCAGTCAGTCAAGCAACTAACTCTTGATTTCGGCTCAGGTCATGATCTGTTTCATGTGTTCTAGCACCACATCAGGAAGACAGTGCAGAGTCTGCTTGGGATTCTCCCCCTCTCTCTGCCCCTACCCCCACTCACGCTGTCTCTGTCTCTCTCAAAATAAATAAATAAACTTGTAAATAAAGAATTATAAATAAAGAATGCTTGCCTCACCTCTAGTAGCTTAACAAGGCTGGATTCTTCATGCTATTCAGACCTCAGTCTAAATATTAAGGGACTTTCCTAGCTATCCAGTCTAAAGTAGCCACCCAGTATTTCTACCACATAACGTACGGTGTCTCTCTGCCCAGTCGGATGGCGGCCCCCAAATGTGAGGCGATGATTGGGTGGAAGATGGTGGCATGGACAGTGAAAGGGCTCACCCAAAGCACAACAAAAAAGAAGTTTGTTGAATACACTGCAAGGGA